GACGCCTTCCATCTGCGCGTGCGCGCCCATCCGTTCCACGTCATCCGCATCAACAAGATGCTCTCGTGCGCGGGCGCCGATCGCCTCCAGACCGGCATGCGCGGCGCCTTCGGAAAGCCCCTCGGCACCGTCGCTAGAGTTAAGATTGGCCAGACTTTGCTCAGTGTACGCACCAAGGAGCAGAATAAGCCACATGCCTTGGAGGCCTTGCGTCGCGCAAAGTACAAGTTCCCGGGTAGGCAAAAGTTGTTCACCTCGAGCAAATGGGGTTTCACTCAGTTTTCGAAGGACGAGTACCTGGAGCTCAAGGAGGCTGGCAGGATTATCCCCGACGGCTCGTATTGTAAGGTTCTTAACAACCATGGGCCGTTGCTCCTTGACTAGTCGCACTTTCTAGTCAACCACTCGTAAATCCTGGCCCGAGTCCCTAATCCCGTACAATCTTAACCTTTACCTTCTCGCCCAATTTATCGACATTCCGCGTCCCACACCCGTGTCTAGTACATTGAGTCGCCTTCACCCGATCCGAATTGCACACCGGGAGCGCTGGTCGAGACGTGTGCAGAGGGGGGATCAAAAAGCCGACTCATGAGGGAGCAAGTGCAGAAGATGCCATTGCCCCCCCGCCTGTCACGCAGCATTACTTTTGTGCACCACGAAATTCCCCCAATAAACCCCTCATCCTCTCAATTTCCCCAACAATACTACCGTACAGTGCGTCTCTACTACGTTGCGCCCGCCTCGAACCCCCCATCTCTTATATCCCCATATCCCCCCCCATTCCCCATTCCACCCTCCCTCACAACTCACCTCCGTTACAGACTTGACCCCCGTTCAAAACCTCTCCTTACCTTCACCCCATTCATCTGCGCGTTGCCGCCGCGCCGCCACAACCCCTTGTTCCAATGGATCAAGTAATCACGGAGACCAAGACAAATGCCGCCCCGTCCATCACACCCGACCAACTGGACATGCTCGTCGAGGAGGCTGACCGCGCCAAAATGAAAGCGTATGTCCATCTGCAGACTTGAACCCGCGCAGCGAAGCCGCCTGCCTTGCTGCCGAACAAGAGAGCTAACGTTTGCCGCCTCCGTCTGTTTTTTGCATTCCTCTCATCACCCAAACCTTTCCATCAAAGCTACGCCCCGTATTCAAAGTTCCGTGTTGGCGCAGCCTTGTTGGCGGAGGACGGCACCATCTACTCCGGAGCAAACGTCGAAAACAGTTCGTAAGTGACGTCGCCAGGAATACAATCGCCTACTCGCCTTGTCCAGCGCGCGAGAGTGTGTACCATGACCTTGCTTGTGACAACGCATGCGTCCCAATCAGATCACTGGCCCTTGTCTCTTCTTTTGTTTTACTCTCTCTCTCTCTCTCTCGCTCTCTCTCTCTCTTGGCTTTTGTATGTGTGTACTAACTTACGCTTGCATTTCGTCGCTACATAACAGATACGGACTTACCGTCTGTGCAGAACGAAGTACCATATTTCACGCAGTGAGCAACGGAGTCCGCGCGTTTCAGGCTATCGTCGTCACGACGGACATTTCAGAGTCCTTTGTGTATCCCTGTGGTAAGCTACCTCGCAACGCGAGTGCGATGCAGCAAGTGCGGACTGCAGACCTGTGTGGGGGGTTGCGGTCACTGACGTTAGTGATGAAATACTTTTTCTTTTTTATTCTCTCGACTGTACGCATCGCAATACTGTAGGGGCATGTCGCCAAGTCATGTCCGAGTTTGGCAACTTTGACGTCTACTGTCTTCGACCGAATGGGAAAGTATCTCGAACGACCCTGGCGGACCTCATCCCCTTTGCCTTTTCTCCTTCAGACTTGAGCAAAGGCCAGGGGAAAGGAGAAGAGGATGAACCTGTGCTCAATATGGAAGGCGAATAATCTCGGCCGCAAAACAGATTATTGACCGCTTTGCAGTTCCTATCTGATCCTGTGCGTCACGCATTCTATACGCTTCCTGCTCTACTTTTCCGAAGTAAGAAACCTCGCAAGACAGACCATTTGCGGACCCGAACCGCACGCGGTTGCATGAAGAAGGGGGCTCATGTCTTTGACATCCGAAACCCTCGACTCAGAATGTACTGTAGGAATCGCTAAAAGAGTTTCTTCAAAGTCCCGAGTGCTACGCGCCGGCCCTTACTTCACTGCGACAAACGCAGCCTCCGTCATCATAACAGTATGTCGCCATCCTGTGATCGCCACACACACACACATACACTTCTTCCCGATTTGTCGATCGCCTTGCCAACGCAAATGCCCTTATATTATGGTTTCTACAACAAAAAGAACTACATTGGTTTTTGAAACTGTGCAGTCAACTAACTGTCTATCGCATTAAAACCCCTGGTTTCTTCTGGGCAAAACAGCCGATCGGACGAGTGATGCAGAGCACCTTTGAACATGTTCTCGAGACGAAAACGAGTAACCTTGCGCAAGAATAGTTGGCACATCTATGATACACCGCCGCGTCTAAACTCTAAACACATTCCAGTACAATATAATAATCAAGGGTCTTCTCAAGCTCTTCGGTTTGGCTCTGGAAAAAGGCATGTGGCAAACGATACTCAACGAAATCTGAGGACTCGTGTGAATATCACGGAATAGCGTTTTGATGGAAGAAAATGTACATACGTAGTTGTACATACGTAGTTCTAAGTGCTCGCATCACTACGTCAAAGATCCCTGTGGAAAGTTTTCGAGTCGCTGATGTTTGAATTGAGCCGAGGTACTTACTGTACAGGTATGGTTGCGGGTGGTGGCAGCTCGTAGTATCCGCGCGTCGCGCAGCGGTAGGGCGAACGAGGGGGGGAACGATAGTCGCGAGAGAGGGATGTGGCGCGGCGAAGAAGGAAGGGCACAATGTCCCCCGGGGTCGTAGCCTTGTCTGCCCCCCCCCCCCCGGTGCGCCGACCAATTCTGGTCGGCGCTATTTCAATAAAATTGTAGACCTAAATTATCCGTCGGCAGCGCCGGTCGCCGCCGGCGCTTTAGCCTGCACACGTGGCCTATTACCACGTGGCCCAACTACACACCCCCCGTTGGCATACTTCGGCGCCGTCGACGGCGGGGGGGCGTGCAACTAGGTCTCTCCCGACGCTGCTCCCGTGATCCGCACCGACGTATTCCAACACAAACCCTTACCAATCCCTATCTCCCTTTTCCGCATCGGGTGCACGAACGCCGAGTTATACCGCGTCCCATTTCCTGCCCAGCCGCAACTCCTTGAATCCCTTCCGCAATTACCCCTCCAAATCTTCCTCGTGCGCTTTCCCGTCTTGGCGTATTGCAATGCCTCGTGGTGTCTCGTCACGCAGCGCGCCCGTGCAGCAACACCCATCCGGAAGGCAGCTGAATATGAGCCCGAGGGCCACGGTACCGACTGGGAGGGTAGCGACGGGTGCTCAGGCGCAGAGAGGCATCACCACTGTAACATGCAGAGGGAGGAAAGTCTCCTTCGCGAGCTTCACCACCGGACGGTTGGCGTCTACCGTGGACCTTTTCGAGAAGGACACAAGGACTACTGTGGGAGCGCGCGCGTTCTTCGAAGCGCTCCCCATCCCCAGCGACAACGTCGCGGCCCTGTCTGCTTGGGTCGCGGCGAGGCCTACAGCGCGCTTCGGATTGATGCGGCTCCGTCGACTTGGCTTCACCGACGACCTCCGTGCCGCAGACAAGTATTGGAAATCGAGATCGAAGAAGGTGATGGAAACTCATGAAGGCGGTGGCAGGGTAAGGAAATGTGGGGATGTCGGTAAGGAAGGGAAGGCGTATGAGATTCGCCGCGTCGCGTTCAGCTCAGGCCGGGACTCTCGATTCGTTGGAAGAGCGGGCCCCGAGTACTTCGCCTCCGACCTTCTTCGAGGGGGACCGTGTACGTTCTGGCCCATTGCGTTTCACACAATTGAAACGCATCGTCTAGAAGGGGACTCCACCCTGGACGCTGAGCTGGGCAGTGGGATTGAGTCGGACTTGGAAATATTTCCTGGACGGATTGGGCGGCAGGGGTGCTCGGTGGAACTTGTTTACAATCCGGGCCGGCAGGCAGCGTTTCTCGACGCACTCGACGATTGGTGCACGGAGCACCCTGACAGATTTTACACTCTGAGCTGTCCCGGTGATCGTGGTCCGTCAAGGCATGCCGCCTCTCTGCATTCAAGCTTGCCGGTATTCGCAAGGTCCTGTCACGGCCAATGCTTGCGAGCAGCCTTGGCGAACGGCATCCATGCCCTGCAGGGACCCGAAATCGCCCTCAACATGCTTCAGCGGGGCGTAATGGCTTGTCGGAGCCTGGCAGATGCATCTGCCTGGGTGCAGAACAACATCAAGGTTCTGGGGCTCCGAAAAATTAAAGTGGACCGGGGCATGACCGAGGAGGAGTGGTTGCGTTATCAACGGACCGGCATCTACCTCGTCCGGCTTTCTGGAATGAACCGCGATGATGAGGAGGTTGACCACGTTGTTGCATACGACGCAGGCCGTCAGGTTGTCTTCCATTGCGTTGAGCGCTTTGCTCTTCGTGTCAGTTCCCAGATTTTTGACGTGTGCGTCGGGGACGACTCGCAATTCATGGGCATCTCCGAGATGAGGCTCCTCTACGCTCAAGAGGTAGGCAAGAGAGTGGCTTCTGGTAAGAAGAAGAAGCCGAATAAGCGCATCTCTTATAGCGTCAAGCGGGAGCGCAGGAGTGAGAAGAAGGGGAATGAAGCCAAGTTTACCCACAAGAAATCGAAAACGAAAAGCGTCATTATTGATGATGAGGAGTGATCAATAAACTTGGGAGACCCTTTGTGATGACTTGAATGTCTCTGCGTCCAAGAATCCACTCCTCATCACGTCGTTTAGTTTCTTGAACATGTCCAAATTTCTCTTCGTGAGGGCGTCTGCGAAGTTCCGTTTTCCGGCTATCCATTGCATGACGCTGATCTCCCCGGTCTCATATGAGTCCCTCATCCTTGCCACAGTGGGACGAAGACGATAGTCACTACCCTCGTGTAAGGTTGTCACCGTTGAGAACAGGCCATGAGAGTCGACTGTTAGCACAAACGGGAGAGGATGCTCTGCAGAAAACACCACTTTCAGTCTTTCCGCTATCATTGATCCCCGGTCAGCAGACGTGGCTGCAGCGAGTATCTCGGCGCCGATTGAGGAAAAGGCTACGCGAGTTTGCTTGCAGCTCAACCAGTCTATGACGTGATACAACCCCACACCCCCCGCTGGCAGGTATATACCCGAAATATAACCTGTCTGTCCATAAGAGGTCGACCCGTGACTCGCGTCCGAGAAGGCGAGGTACGAGGGTGTAACGTCGAGATTATTTGGAGAACGGAATGTGATGTCTGCTTCGAGTTTGTTGATTTCCACCAGTAACTTGTTTGCCGTAATTAGGTTTGAGACCTTGAGGCGTCCTACAGCTTGCTGCAGGAAACTGGCTGCGAAAGAAGCTTGAGGTAAAATACCGTGCCCCAGGAAGTTGAGCGATCCTGCGAGGCCTTGGTAGGCTGTGAGCTCTGTCGCCGTACATGGTGAATCGAACTGTTTGCGTCGCTCCCGAGTGACGGCAAGAGGCTTTATCGTTCCCAGGTATTCCTTCATGCTGATGTGAACTGTTCGATCGTCATTTTGATGTATGTGCAACCTATTGAATATCAGGTCCCGACCAGTGACAAAACGACCAATCTCAAATCGTTTCAGCATGCTTTCATGGAATTCGTCAATGTCCTTCTGGGATCCAGCCATGAGAAAGTCGTCGACAACTTTGCAAATGGCGAGGAGGATTCCTCCGTCTAGTCGGCGCTTGATGAACAGTTGAGGGAGTCCGGGCACTTCTATAATCCCTTGCCCAGACATCCACCGTTCGACTGCTAGCTGCCAAATTCGACCGGACTCTACAATGCCGTAGGCTGGCTTCAGCAGCTTCCAAATCCCTTTGTGCATGGATGTCCAGCCCTTTGGTGGCCTCACGTATATACTGCGAGTTAGCCAACCTCCCTGCATGTACGCACTTTTGACATCGATGGAGCCCAGGGCCATTCCGAGAATCGCCGCAATTGACAACACGATGCGGATAATCGGAAATTGCGCTGTTGCGGAGTCCTTGCGGACTTTTTCCTTATCCCGGTCACGATTGCCATGAGGGACGAGCCTACACTTCAACTTTAACTTGTCCGTCTCACCTTCGTGTTTCAACTGAAAGAAGTGATGAGACGAAATCAAGTTTGCATTCGGAGGAAGCCGGCTGATGTGGAGTTCTTCGTAAGCGCCATCGTAATTCTCCTTCTCCTTCGCAATGGACTTATCGATCACCCACTGAGGGACGAATTGGAGTTGATGTTCTGACAGAGGTTTCTCCCCGAGGACTTCTCTTGCTCTTTGTAGGATCTCTTGTTCTGAAGTCTTGAGGGAGCAAGGAAAGTCTGGGGGCGACATAATCGGTACATTTTCGACATCCTTCGAGGGTTGCGGAGGTTTGTACTCTTTGGTAATGTCGTTCTGGTGTGAAGTTCCTCTTTCCTTTCTCCTTCCAAAGAGAGAGTGTGAGAACAACAGGGAAGAGTTTCCAACATCAACAGCAGGCTGCTCGAAACTGGAGCGCCGTGGCCGTGAGGGATTTCCGGCAAATAGAGTTAGGGAATTTGGATGTTTAGCCCACAGAGCGTGCTCCTTTTCAAAGAAATCTAAGGCCTCCACAGTGTCCGAAATTCCTCTGTCCTCCAGTTCTGTTGTATCCAAGTCAGGTACGGCTGGCTGGATGGCTTCCTCAGTCTCGTATTCCGGTGTGAATTTGATTCTTGCCCTCGGTTCGTCGGCTTCAGCATTCCACAGGAACATCGCCGGCAATGGAGAGTCTTCTCCGAGAATATCGCTTGGGACTTCAGGCGGTGCAGCCGGGTCTACTCCTGTGAACTCGTCTTCTTCCACTAAAGAGGACGAGCGAGGAAAGACATAGTTCATTTTGTCAAGTTCTTGCAGGAGAGAAGACCTCGGCGCGACTCGCACATCCTCGAAGGCTGCCCGGATTGGCAGACCGTTGTGGCTAGGTTTGCTCGAGATTGAAACTGAATGTGGGTCTAGTTCTCGAACATATCCTTTCTCCCATT